TAGCCCAAGTTTATTGCAATCGCCACCGCCACCGCCACTTCATAATTAGCGATACAGCAAAAATTGTCAAACAACAAAAAATCATATTATCCTTGAAATTAAAGATCAGGTATTTTTTTTAAGTTAATGAATCGGAATTCACAGAAACATCACTTTCTTAGATTCAAAATTGCAGTTACGCCCCCTAGCGGATATTTTAGAAACGTGAAAGTATTTTCCAGGTTTTTCTCTTGGCAGTCTTAATCACAACTTTTTTTGCCGCAGTTACCAATAGATAAGCATACAGTTTTGATACAACGGGGTTGGCAAAAAAGATCAAAGGTGGCCTAATGCCAGTCCCCCCCTATTATGAATCCTGTACTAGAGGAAAGACAATTAGCTAACAGCACAATACATAGGCTTTGATAAACTGTATTTTTTTCCAAGGAAATTCCTTAGGGTTGGATAATCATCCACCTCAAGCTATCGAAGCAGTTGCCCTAGTACACGTTATGCTATATCCACAGTTAAGTCAACTAATTTGAGCAACGCAGGTTCAATTTCTTAGAGACCTCTGTCACGATATCTCAAACCCACGCGTTGTTTTACTTGGCCATTTCAATGCCAAACTGTTGTGACCTACGTTATTTTCGCAGAGGACAAATAACATGGTTCCCTTCAAATGTCAAAGTACTATTTTCGCGTTTCATATCTACAAAAGATGCATTTACAATCTTTTTAGTCGCATATTGCATAACAATTAACCGGTGCCTTACGACAATCTTTCTGGACGGGCTTTTGCGTTTATTTGAGGGCTTTTGGCAATTTTGGAACAATAGATGTGGGTGACGTGTCTGGTACATAGGAAAAATACAGATAATGTCAAGCTCGCTTGTCAGCTTGGAGGAATGCCTACCCCATGTGGTTCTGGGCTATGCTGGTTTTGCGTAGTGCTATCTTGAAATTTAAAATGATAATTTCGCGCAACCTGAGCATGTTACAGGACCTCGCAAACTATCGTAGTAACATACTGCATGGGAATGAGAAAATGGATAGAAAAAACAAACGAAGTAGAATATATTGTCAAGAAGTGTTGGTCGCACTAAAAGTCACTGTTGGGTGCGAAACCTATACAGCAAAGAAGAATTTTGAACAAATGTGGTTTGATTGGCCAGACAAATGGGGGATTGTAGGTTATAACTACAAGGTTGACAATTTTCCCCATCCAATAATTTTAAATTTCACAGAAATCCCGTTGTGCATGCGATGCAAAAAGTGAAATATACAAATATAATGAAATATTTCATTAATAAATACTACCCGTCCTCATCCTGTATTGTTTCGCTGCATATAAAGAGGAATGGACGAGCTTTTTTTCAAAAGGCTGTACGAGACCGCATTAATAAAATAGACAATTGTACGCAGACGTGTCGCAAATATATGAACGCACAAAAAACAAACGAACAAATAGTCATTTGGAGTGTATTCAGTGTCCGAATATTAATCATAAACTCCATTTAATTTTCAAATATATGCATTTTGGGATTAATATATATTTATCATGTCTCTTGTATGCTCGTGCTTTCTGCTGCCATGTAATAAACCGGCATTGAGCTGCGCTGTTGAAATTTTTATACGTCCTGATTGAAAACCAGAAATTCATTGGGTTTCAAATAAAAGGTTTCTTTAAACTGCAAGTTCTTCGTTTACTTGTACTTCTAAAACCTCTTTTTATCTGTGAATCATTTCTTCATTGCACCCAAAGTATTAGTTGACAAAATCTGAAATTTTGAACTGTCAAAGGTCATATTTTATCCATATGAAATTGTTATACGAGTCCCACTTTAGCGTCGTGGGTTTTCTACTATTTGGAGTGTATGAAAGTAACCGGACTTTCTGAGATATAAGTGAGGCTTTCCACCATCTATTAAATTTTTTATTTTAAATATTTTAGAATACATATAATACAATACTTTCCTTTGGTTTTTGAAACGTCCAAAGGTTGCAATTTTGGTACTTTGTCCAAGATTCACCCTTTTACGAGTATTTAACTTATTATTATTGAGCTACGACACTTGATTTGTTTCAACTGTTGTTTTTATAATGAGCGCAGTGAAGTGGAAAATGCTTGGACTATGTCAGCCGTCATATAAAATGAATACAAAAATAAAAAGAGAAATGATAGAATATTTAGATGGAATCCCATAGATGCGATCACCTTGACATTTTAATGACTTTCAAGGGCCCCCTTGTGGACGTTGATACTTTGAACATATCTTCAACATCCTTTCATTTGAAAGGATATGTTTTTCGGAAAAGAATCATTTCTTTGTAGTGATACTGAAGAATTAGCTTATTTCTCCAATGTATTTATGTATTTAACTAGGAAATAAAGGTATTGGGAAATTTTCCTCCAATAAATAATCGATGAACCCTGAATTTATAGTAGCAAGCTTTGGGTGTTTGACTATTAATGAAGGCGACACTATTTTCACCCGGAAAGAGTAGATCTTGTTTCAAAAAGCAATATATGTCCTTGTCGTTTTGATCTATATCTCCAAAAACCTCACTATGGTGGCCGAAACGTCAGTACGTATGTGGTTTCATTTGGCCACAAAAAAGAGTTCCAGAATCACTTTTTTCCAAAAAGGACCAGTTATAAAACTCGCCACAGACAGATGTTAGATAACTTTATTAGATACTTTGTAAAACTCTCTTGAAGTAAACTTTGGTGAATATTGAAAAAGCTTCAACGTTTGGAACAGCTCAACTTTTTCGTGTTTAAAAACATATTTTTCTACCTTTACCATTTTTAACGCGCTTTTATTAGCTTGGCCTGTATGTATGTATCTAACGGAATGTTTGAGCATAATTTTCACCAATTTCCAGAAGTTTGATTAATTCGAAACTATCAAATATCAAGGACCGGTGACAATGCAATAATTTGATAACAGTTTTCCATTATCAGTAATTTATCTAGGCTCGCGACTGTTTGCTGCTGGGCAAGCTTATGTAGCACTCAGTCGTGTAAGATCTTCAGACGGTATTCGGATTGAAGAACTTGATTCCTCTAAGTTAACAGGAAAACCCTAATGCAACAGTGAAGCTTTATAGGGAATAATTAGATTACGAAATGATTCGTAAGATATTTCAGTACCTCAGGTCCACAAAAAAATAGTTGATAAATCGAAATAAAAAATTAAAAATACTTGATACTTTAAAAAAACTAAAATAATTCTGTTTTATAGTTCACCAAACTGAAAAGTAGAAAATAATTTTTAGTTAGGGTAAATCGTACGTTATCGGATACCTGACAGTTATTGGACATTGCTGTTTCAAAACCGAATACAAAGAGTTCTGTATGGCATATTTTGTTCAGTTCTCGATAGATGGTATCTCCATAATATATGTTAACAGATTTATAGGTTATTTATAGGTTATGTTCTTGACTCTGTGTTAGCGTTGCGGTTCAGGTATCGACAAAAAATTCTACACTTGTTCTCAAGGTAAGCATCTATTTTTGTATTGCGCTCCTACTGATATCTGTCCAACCACTGAAAAATGTTAAGTTGTTCTGTGTTCACTCGATTCAGTGAATCTTTATACAAGAAGGGATATTTTTCTATTTATATTAACTTGGAAATATATTTGATAGTTATTGGACAACTGTCCAATAGCTAACCTTGATCGTCCATTAGCCGAGTTCGGGTCTCTAATATTTGGTCTACACTTTAGGAACTAGCAAAATGCCGAAATTAAAGCAATGCGATAAGTCGAAACTTGAATACGCTCTCAGAGACATACAAAACGGTACAGAATCTTACCGAACAGTACAGAATTCTGACATCCACTTTAGAATTTAAACTGAAGCATCCCGGTCATAAAGAAACCTTGGGTCCATCGCCAATTTTAACAAGTGAAGAAGAGGCTTTGTTAGTTAAGTAATTTGTACTTTATTAGTATCTAATAACACGAGACTAATTTTATAAATATTTACCTGCAGCTGGATAAAAGATAATGCTGCAAAGGGTTTTCCAAGAAAGGACAACGATTTGAAGAATAGCCTACAAAGATTTTTGACTGTAAATCCGCGCCCACACAAATTCAATGATAACCGACCTGGATATGGGTGGGTTAAGGTATCTCAGCAAATATGTAATGTATAACTAGTTACTAGATATTTTCAACGTTACAGGGATTCTTGACAAGGCATCCCGATATCTCTAACAGAACAGCTGAAGGGGTTACTTCGTCCAGTGCATTTGTCTCAGAACAGGACATCAGAGACTGGTTTGTCAATATCCATGACTACCTCAAGCAAAACAATCTAGAAGATGTGCTTAAAGATCCTTCAAGGATTTTTAATGCTGACGAGCAGGATTTGAGATTTGTTCTTCCACTGTGAAGGTGTTTGCAGCAAAAGGACAAGAAATGTGTATTCTGTAGAATGCGGTTCTTCGAAAGAAAACATCACCGTGCTGTTTACTTTCGCAGCAGATGGTACAATTTGCGTGCCAATGGTAGTTTTATCTTATCGAGGCATTCCTGAAAAAATAACTAAAGGTATTAATCCTAAGTGGGGCGTAGGAAGAAGCGACAAAAGATGGATGGACATACGAAACATTTTATCAATATATAGCAAATGTTTTCTATCCCCATCTGAAGGAAAATGCCATCAAATTACCAGTGATCCTCTTTCTCGACGGTCATAAGAGTCACCTGAATTATCATATGAGCATTCTATGTAATGAACTACAAATTGAAATCATTTCACTGTATCCTAATGCTAGAAGGATTTTGCAACCCTGTGATGCATCCATTTACCGACCAATCAAAGAAGCTTGGCGTCAGTCAGTACGAAAGTGGGAAGAAGAACATTCAGGGCAAATAGTAAACAAAGTCGTTTTTGCTGGAATTCTAGAAAATGCTATTTATAAGAGATTCAAAGCAGAAACAGTTGTAAATGGGTTTAAAGTCTCTAGCTTGTATCCTTTCAATCCATATAACGTCGACTATACAAAATGTCTAGGAGTGGGGACCATGCAGCAACCAAATATTGCTGTAGAAAATCTTACTCAGCCAAGATGAAATACGACAAGTTCGCAACAATAGTTGGTCCCAAAAAAATCGAAATGTTCCAAAATATTGATGGAAAAACGGAAGAAAATGAAATTTCCGATGAAAATTTGCGTCTATCATTCAAGACTTGGAGATTCTTCCGAAACGGTGATACAATACCGACGGATATCACAGAGCCAAAAAATAAAATTAATATTGTATAAAATATAGTTATAATGTCCCTAACAAAAAATTCTTCATTTGCTTCAAATTCTAGTGAAACTGAACAAACCGCAACCCTTAGTCAACCGAGTACCAGCAAAGCTACCGTCAATGTAATGTGTAAGCAAATAATTCCTCCCAACCGAGTCTCAGTTACAAACAATTTGTTAGGAAGCTTCCTAGAGTCATCTTCTGCACCAGCAAGAAAGGGTAAACGGAACATAGAGAGATTCCCTTTTGCTATAACATCTGAGCGATATCAGGAGATGTTCAGGAAAAAAGAAGAATTAATGAAACAGCAGGAAGAAGAGAAGGAAAATAGAAAAAGGAAGAAGAAGGAAAAACGAAACGAAAAACAAGGTAAAGGTAAGAATTAACAAACAGCAACAGAGTGCTCTGCCTGACTAAAGACCATCAGATCATGTGAACTACAATGTGATGACTGTAAACGATACTATCATAAAGACTGTGTTCCACAAAGAGACGAACATAACATACCTAGCGATGACGAGTTATACATATGTCATAACTGCTATAGATTGAGTGATAGTGACGAGGATTGTGAAGATATTGATGATCAGGAAGTCGATGAATTATACGACCAATATAATCATACAAAAAAGCATTTTAAAAATGTTTATACCACATTATATAAGACCCGTCCAATAACCGGATTTTGAGTGTCCCATATCTAAATGATGCGTCCAATACGTATCGTTTTTTGCATACGTTCAAATTATCATTGTTAGTGTAAATTCTGCAAAGCTATTTTCAAATATGTTCTAGCAGTCTAGTTAATAAAGCCTCTAACTTCCTTTATATGTAGTTTCCGGTGTCTCTTTGCCATAACTGAAAGTTTGGCTCTCATTTAAAGTTGTCTAAACCTTAACTGTCAAATAATTGTCTGGTTTACCCTACAAGGAGTTTATATTACAGTAGTACTCGTAGATGGTCGAACAATCAATCATAATTAATGACCTCTAAATAAAATTATAATGAAATTTAGGTTATTAACAGAATAAATCAATTCAGAGCAAAAAGCTCATAGATAGTTGCCAATAGAATCATTGTAACATTTAATATATCAAGCACCCCACGCTTTTTACTCTGAATTGAATTATTCTGTTAATAACCTAAATTTCATTATAATTTTATTCTGAGGTCATTAATTATGATTGATTGTTCGTCCATCTACTGCTGTAATATAAAATATTTGGAATTAGAAATTATTTTCTATTTTTTTAGTTCGGTTAGCTATAAAACCATTATTTATTTGGTAAGCCTAGTCAATTAATCTATGTTTCGAATTTGATCATGAGAGCGGTATGCTACTGATAACAACAAATTTGAACTTCATAAGTTGACTGCATATTTTAACGCTATCGACTGAGAACAGGGTAGTTGTTACATAGTAGTATCACAAAGTAACCCTATATCAGGATCTAACTATGCTTGTACTACAAGGTCCGCCGTTCCAACATCTTGGAACGAAATCGAGGAGAGCTGACGCTTTCTTTATCGGACCCGAAACAAACGCACCAAATTAAGGGTAAGTGAAGGGCGCAGATGTTTTTGAAGGGCGACAAGCCCTTACGATCTCTGCGAGGATATCGAGTGAGAGTGTTAGTGCGCGCAGTACAAGGGTTTGGCTCGTTCGAAGGGCTCTGCTGTCCGTGATTACGGGATCAATCGACTGGAGGGAAATTTATTTAGGGCTCAGGTCAGGCGCGAGGAACGGCCTCGACGTAGATTCCGCCTATTACGCTTTTTTGGAAAGGTTTAAAATTTGTGCGAACGAGACGAAGGGCCGGACATTGTTTGCTGAAAGGCTTATTGGTTCGTTACGTTTTTGGAGGGGCAGATAAATTTTGAACAAACTGAAAGGAGCGCCCTTGGATCAATAGTAATTATATCGAATAGAGAATATCGCTAGATGCTTATTTGAGCTGTCCTCTTCATTTCCTGAAGCAAGAGATATTATTTTCTATAAATTACGACAACAACATCATTGGAACTAGTAGAAAGTAAGCGAATTCAAAAGTTTAGACGCGCTATAAAAGTCGCTATGCTTCGAGGGCTGCTGCAATGCACTACGTAAAATCACATTACCTTTCTACAACTCACGTAAAAAATCAAGCACTGAAAAAACGGCCAAAGGAAATGGAATTCAGATTGATTTCATCATTATCATTTCACTTTGAACTTTGAGTGACTGTAAATCCTAAGATTCTTTGGAGACCGGAGGACATTATGTGGAAGAAAATGTTTAACATATCCTATTATATTAATAACAATAATAATATCAATTACAATGATAACAAGAATGAATGATCTTTATTCGTCACAGCATTACAAAATAATAGACTTGATATGAAGAAAAAACAAATAGCGTCGAAAAGGTGAAATGACAGCTTACGCTGTTTTTCAACCCGTCCTAAACACATAAACACAATTGACAAACTACTATACAATATTGAACATGCGTTAAAGGTAATTATTTCTAGCCCTCTCTAGCATATGTGGTTATGTGTAAAAAATGCAACCCATATTGTAATAATAAAAATAATGGTTTATTGGCCTTATCAGACAGAACGTGTTTACAGAAGTAAACATAGAAGCTTAGTTGCCAGAAGATAATAAATGACACACAATACATATAAATAACAAACACTACAGATACGCACATAAACATATGGTTACAAGGGTGACAATAGATAGTATAAAAGACAAAATTATAACAAACTACGTCAAATCAATGAATAAATGGCACAAGAGATAAAACTATTATAAATATTATATACATCGCTCGAATGAAAAGCAGAAAAAGAAGATATAGCATGAAATATAACTATTGAGTATCCGTCAAGAAGTTGTGGTTAAAGAAAACTTGTCAATGGTGAAAAAAGCTGCCGACAACAGCAAATTCTTCACAGCACTACTGAATTCATTGTATACTAGAGATCTTAGTTCCTTAGGTAAAATATTATAAAATTTCATGCCATGGTAGTTAACCCCGTTTCTTGTTTTAGCAGGTCTGTGTTGCTTTGGGTACAAGTTGTCTTTGTATCTGGTATTATATGAATGAGTTTCATGGTGGCCTTTATAAAAGTCAGGATTTGACTTGACTTGCAAGAGGCAGCCTATACACATATGCACCAGGTGAAGTCATGATCTCTAATTTGACAAACTCAGGTCTGCAGGGATCTATATACCTTAGATTTGCTATACACAGGAAACATCTTCTCTGTAGGGCAAACACTCTGTACATGTGGAGAGAGTGTCCCCACGCCAGAAGGGCGTATGACATTTTGCTATGGAAGTACCCATGATAACTGGTCAATAGGACGTATTGGTCAGAAGAATGGACAAAAAGCTATTAGGTGATGGATGGAATAATATATTATATCGTGAACTTCGTGTCTTCTACACTTTCGTTGGTATCATGACTGAGATATATGCTTCAAATTCACCGTTCGAACGACTTCTGAAGACATTATGCGTGCTTAAGTATATGCTTACAAGTTTTACCGCGTCAACTTTTGTATATATACTCGTATAGTATATACCACTAAGAATGCGGAGGTTTCAGCATACAGGTAAATCAATTGAGCATGATAAATTCATGAATTGGATAAAAGAGAAATAGTATAGTATTATACATAGATATATAATGATGTTCATGTACAGGGTGTTTCAGAACTAAGGGTCAAATTTCTAGGGGTTATTCAGTGTAACAGTATAAGACATTTGAGTATAGGGACCCATATCCGGAAAAGTGTCACTACGGCACTACGGCCTTAAGACGCGTTAAAATTTAGAGAGACGATGAATTGCCTAAATAGGATTTAATGCATTTAATTTTTGCCTTTTGTACATGATATCATCACAACAATTGTTCAAAATGTCTTCCTCCAATCTGAATACACCGATTTAAACGTCGCACATGATTTCGGCGGACTTGACTAAACATTTGATACTCGTTTTGAATGATTTCGAATGCTGCTGTAATTCGTCCAATTAAGTCTTGCTTTGTTTCGTAAACCAAAGACTTTACATGTCCCCACAGGAACGGTGTATTCAGGTTGGAGGAAGACATTTGGGACAATTGTTGTGATGATATCATGTACAAAAGGCAAAAATTAAATGCATTAAATTCAATTTAGGCAATTTATTGTATTTCTAAATTTTGATGCATCTTAGGGCTGTAGTGCCGTAGTGACACTTTACTGTTACACTGAATTACCCCTACAAGTTTGATCCCATAGTTCTGATCTTATATGGAAGAGGCGTACAGTAATATGAATACATAAATATATATATATATATATATATATACGTATATATAGAGATAGAGAGAAAATAAAGAGAAAAATATCATGCGGAGAAAGGTATATAACAAAAATAGGAAAATAATGGGCTATATGATACCAAGAGACTGTAATATGACTATATCACCTCTACAAATTGATAACTAATACTTAAAGTTGAATGCGTTTTTGCATTATGTTCCCAGCAATAATAAGCGATAAGTTTTAGATTGGCACATTGACCACAAATATTGCCGATACTTTTTAAGAACCATTTGGGCTAAATATGTTTGACATTTGTATGATCGAGAACCAATTTTCTAGAAATCTCCATATTTCAGAAGCTGAACTCCTGTTAAAAGTTGAATTACTAAATTGCATGCATGTGTAGCATATCTCGGGAGACTGTCTGATGCCTGGACATTTTCGTCGAAGTAAATATTAACATAACGAAGTGGTAACAGATGTTATTATACACATGACTGACACTGACGCTAAAATTTAGCTTTAGCACTATAAAGCATAAAAATTTAGTTTTAGCACTAAAAAACAAATTATGCTTTACAAGATCGATGTAGATACGATAAAACTGACATCTTTAAAACAAAGTATCTGATTTACAAACTCTAAGTGTTTGAAAGTATATAAAATACCATTCTAGTATCATAAATTTCCAAAAAGTTCTCCCCAAGTTG